TAGAATTGTGAGAAGCTACAGAAAACACATGAACACAATGGGTTATAGTACTTTATAAGTGCAGACAGGGCCTAAGCAATAATTTTTAGGTTGATAATAGTTTTAAAATAATGGTAAAATGTGTTCTTTGAGGCTTGAGAAAGCCTGTATGTTTGACTAAAAAAAATAATTTCAGTGTAATAAATGTGTATAGCATTTCTTTGCTTTAGGAATGTTTATTGCTGCCCTGTTCTTTACATGTTCACAAGGACAGCTGCAAACATTCATTCATTTATTCACTCATGCAAACAACAAGTGCTCATCCAGTGTGTGCTAGGTTGGTACGCATAAGGTATTATACTATCTTAGGAGATCATGAGACATAAAATATTGTCTCTACTCTACAGGCACTTAGTCTTGGAGAATGTTTAAGTCCATGCCATTATTTCAGAAGGCTCACAAGAGGGAAGCCAGGAGCTGTACAAGGAAAGCTGGCTGCATGTCCAAAGGCGTCTCCATATGGGGTGTGCATCAGTCTTGTCAAGCCTGGAAATGAGAAACTACCCTAGATAGTTCAAGCAGAGAGGGATTTAATGCATGAAAAATTTTGTGACACTTTTAGAAGGGTTGAGGGAGCAAAAGGCATAGGGTGGTGGTACTCAAAGCCCAGAAGCTGTGGCTGCCTGTTCTTATGCTGAGCTGCTGCAGGTATCAGGAAAGTCACTGGAGCTTGTAGCCAACCACTATTGAAGCTGGTTGCCTGCAGCTGGAAGCAGAATGGCCGCTGCCTTCCTGTTGCCTTCTGATCTCTCACTGCCTTGACCTGACCAGCTGACTAAGAAATCTTAATATGTAGTTTGTATCTCTTGACCTGCAATACAGAGAAGAGTATGGTGGGGGCTGGTGTGGTGAAATCCAACAGCAAAATAACCAGTGGAGAGGGATAGGGTCACTCCCATAGCCACCCAGAGTTTTCTCTCAGTAGTTTAGACACAGAAATTTGATTATTACTACACTGGGCTGTGATAAGGCTTTGAAATCTGACCAAAATTAACTGTATGGACTGAAATGGATCCTTTGAAAATTCATATGTTGAAGCTCTAGCCCACAGTGTGACCAGATTTGGCCATCAGGACTTTTAGGAGGTAACTAAGGTTAAATAAAGTTTAAGAGTGGGGTTCTCATTCAGCAGGACTGGTGTCCTTATAAGAAAAGGAAGATACATCAGAATCATGTGTGCGAAGGAAAAGGCCACGTGAGGACACAGAGAGAAGGCAGCCAAATGCAAACAAAGGAGAGATGCCTCATCATAAACCAATCTTGTAGGCACCTTGATCTTCAACACCCAGCCTCCAGAACTGTGAAAAAATAAGCGTCTATGGTTTAAAGCACTTAGTCTGTGGTATTCTGTTATGGCAGTACAAGCTGACTAATGAACTAAGCAAATACCTAACTAAGGAGTATAAAGAGTCAGATGCCAAATTGCAAATTTGTACTAAAAATTTAAATTTCCAAAAGATTTTCTACTTATATTTGTTGGTCAGCACATTCTTCTCTAAGTAAACCTACATGGGAATCAAATAAAATTAGAAGATTGCTTAATGACAGTGTTCTTTGAACATGAGAATTTGCTGGATGATACAAATGGCCAGTGTAATACCAGAGTGTCATTGGGAGGTGACATATTCATTTCCTCTCTAGACTAGCAATCCTTGCTGGGTATGTGCGAGTAAGTATGAATGTACCTTTTCCCTGACAGGTGGAATGCATCAGCTTGCCTGACTTCTCCTTTGTGGATCCCTCCTCTTATTGATACATCCTGGTGCCACTTTTTTGGTGGGGAGGGAGGTGTTGCTTTGATCCTTTTGTGTGACTTTGATCTTTTCCATGATTGTCTTATGGTTGAATACACAAATTTTCAAGTTCTTGGGATGGGAGGTAGTACACACTTGGGCTGAGGTTTGGTCAGGACACACTGCTACATTTATACTGCCTGTTGTCATAGACCATGTCCTTCTGATTGGTCAGTCAATACTTGTGCTGTGTCAGTTGCTAAATGTTTTGAATGTCAATCTCTGCCTCTATTAATTGGCACCATAAAGTATAAAAAGAAATTGACCAGGTTAAGCTATACAGTCAGCCTTCCACATAGCGAAGTAGGGTATTTGAGAACTGTGAAAAGGATCCCTGTTTCCCAGGATGACAGCCTCATTAGCCTATTATAGAGTATAAAATCCAGTCACCAGAGTTGCTCCTTAATGAGTTTCTTCATATTTACCAGAAAGGATAACCAACATATCAAATGTTTAAACCTTACCTGCTATATGTTAGGCATTGCTTTTAAATGGACCATCTCATTTATCACCATACCAATCTTACTATGAAGGTCTTACTACTGTCATTTGACAGCTGAATCAACTGAAGCTTAAATAGGTCAAATAATTTGTTTAATGTTTTCCTCTAGTGAGGGGTAAAGTAGAAAATCAAACCTTAAGATTAAACATTGTGTTTAGAACAAACAAGTTCTCTTGGCCTACAAGACCCTGTGTGCATAGTTGTTCCTTATACCCTGGAACTTTTTCCACACATTCTCTTTCCAGCTTGCTTTGTTCCTGAGAAACTGTTCCCCTATTCTGGAACACGCACAACTTTCCCAGCTCCTTCCCAGCAGAAAGACTGGTCTCCCTGCCTGGCATGCTCTTTACCCTTATTTTATTCACATGGCTGGCTTCCACCATTACCATTCTATTTAAAATATTCTCCCCTTTCACCTACTCGACACTGTTACACCACATACTGGGGATTATTTCCTTCAGAGCAGGTACCTATCACCTCTTGGAGTTATTTGCTTGTTTATTTATTTTCTGTATCCTCCCAATAGAATGTCAGTTTCATGAAGACTCTCTTATACATGGCTGTGTCATTAACTTCTAAGTACTGGGTCTTCCGTAGTAATCACTGAGTAAATACATGCTAAATATCCAAAGATTATCTGTTGTGACTTATCAACCCTGAGGCTCTTTGGATTAAGATTTAGGAGGCATGTTTTTGATGCAGGAGGAAATCTCAGTAGCTGAGTAGTCCCTCTGGTTGGACTCAGTATTACGGAGAGTATTCCTAGCTACCAGTACATCCAGTCACTGAGATGAGGAGGGGGCTGCAAAATGGGTGGGAATAGCTGAACATGGGAAAGATGAGCCCCCAGAAAAATTTCAGTTGACCAGTAGTTTTGCCTATAGTAATAGTACAGAGCTAATTTAATTCTGGAAAAATGCTTCTGAGAGTTTATTTTTAACAATTACTAAAAAGCAGGTATTAAGAACTTACTATATTTAAAGAACTGTTCTAGGTGATGATGGTGATTAATAAGTTAAGTCCCTAAAGACTTGTATGAAACTTGGGAGAAAAAGATGCCAAATGGAGTGACTAGGAAGGTATTGTGAAGGAGATGGGACCTGAGCCAGGCACTGGATCAAGGGGAGGAATAGACCAGTTGGAGGTGAGAGGTATGATCAAAAGCGTGGTCTGAGGAATGTGCCTAGTGTGTTTGGGATTGTAAAAGACTAGCTGGCAGGAAGTAGACCTTGAGCATAATGTTGGAAAATGTGGATTTTGTCCTGAATTCAGAATGGACTCCTAGGAGTTTCTGTGTGGATTAGTAATGAATTAAATTAATGTTTCTGAAAAATGAGAGATGGACTGACTCAGATGGAGGAGGGAACCTATGGCTGGAAAAGGGGCCCATCAGTTTTCTGCAATTGAACAAAATTTGGGCAGACTCTGTCTCAGCCACAGCTGTCTTAACTCTCTTCCTGGTGGAGGAAATCAGGAGAAAGGGTCCACATGCTGTATGTGGGCTGAAAAGTAGAGTCTGTTGCATCCTCTTCAGAGATGGAGCAGTTGAGGGAGTTGTAAAAAATATTTCTTTTCAGTTTTATTAAAAACTGATTGGTATAGAAGTTTAGCTCTTCTATCTCAGCAGTACATTGGCTATGTGTTTTGTGTAGAGTATGAGCATTTCTGTATCTCAAAGTGCCTCTGAATCATCAAAGACATTAAATTATGTCACTAGTATTTAAGGTTAACTGGTCTGTAATGTGATCTGTGTATAATTATAACTTACATACTTGTAGGTTATAATTCACTGCCTTTAAACCATTTTTACATACATCATTTGATTGCTTTTGATTGCAGTTGGGTAACATAAATTTTAGAGAGGTTCAATGACTTGTTCAAGGTCACTTAGCTAATGACAAGGAAAGCCTAGACTCCAACCTATTTTTTTTACTTTGAGCCTTTTACATCTTTGTGAAAACTAGGCGCTAGTGCTTAATACATATGATACATCCTTACTAACCGAAAATACTTAATAATTTTAGAACAACTAATCTTAGTGGAGTACAGGGATTAACTCTATCTCATATGGTAGAATGCAGTGGGTGTTCAAATAATCATTGAAAATAATGATGTCTATTTCCACAATTCTTTCTGAATTAACCTGTCCCAAAGGAAATGTATCCAGTAGTGTTCCTCCAATATGTTTAAATTAAATATTTTTAAATTAAATGTTGACAATATTATTTGTTTTAGTTTTTCCTCATTGGGTTTTGGGCTCAACAATTCTTGGTTACGGAGCGTGGGTTTGTCAGTTTGCTCTCATGGAATTTGCAGACAGCATCTATGTGCACAATAACAGAATGATTCTGGCTGGTAGAGGACGAGTATGGAGCAAGTGTGGCATGAAATGGACTGTTTGCTTTTTTCTGCAGTCTGCTGATTCAACCTGCAAACCAATTTCCCAATACCATGAGCAAAACCTATAAAAACACAGGGGCCTCTATAAAGATGACTCTGATATTTGCAACCTGGAGAGGTTTTTGGAATTGAGGGAGCTCAGTTCTATACTTATTATTTAGGCCTGGGTATTTTTGGCTTCAGCACTTGTCCCTGGTTATAAAGTTAAACACAAGGGTCTAAACACTGTTCACTTGGATAGTGAAAAACATGTTCACTTTTTGCAGTGACCCTGAAAACAGAAGGGGAATTCTTATAAATCACAAAGGAAAATAAATAACTTCACCCATGGAGGGAAAGAGACAGCTTGAGAAAAGGGACTTTGGAAAAAGGCTGTCTCTAGACAGCAGTCTTGTGGTAAGTACTAAATATTCATTTACCACTCTATATGTTTTGGCTTAAAATGCATTATTCTTTGACTGTTATTTCCTGAAGCCTGTGCTTTTCAAACCTCTATTTCAGTTACCCCATTAGCAATATCCCCTGGGATTTTGTTTCATTTATTTTTTACAGAGTCAAAAGCCAGTAAATTATTGGAATGTTTGTATAGTGTCTTAATAGGCAAATGTCATAATCTGTCAACATTAAATATAATTACATTAATTCCAGCCAAAGTAGACTTTAACCTATACAAAAACACTACTGTACAGCTGATGCCAGATGCCAAGCCTATATATAGTTGTTCCATCACCCATTTATCTTAACATTTGAGATAAGTTGAACAAGAACTCAACACAGCTTCAATTATTGAAGAGCAAAGGAACTCTGAGATCTTCCTAGGTATGTAAATTAATTTAATTGTCCATAAGCTTTCCTCTAAATGTTTTAATACTGATGAGCATCATTCTTAACCACTTGGTTGGGTTTACTTTTGTGTATGAGAATCTGGTTAGTCCAGACTAAATGGTCCAGGATTAGACTAAACCATTGATTTTTGAACGTTGGTCACTCTTTCAGAGTCACTGAGCTAAGAGGTGCAGGCACCTCTTTGATTCTATAACTCCTATAAACAGAGCAACAAATCAAATCAAGCAAGTCACTCCTTTCCCTTTTGCTCATGTCCTGAAATAGAAATTAGCTTAGCTCCTTTGTTTGCATGTTTTGTACCCTCAGCACCTGGCCCAGACTCTGGATCAGAGTAGGTGCCCAGTAATATTTTTGTTGGGTTGATTTATCAGTTGCACTTTTCCAATTCTGCTGTTATAGGTCCTACTCTGCCAATGTACAGATTAGATATTTATCCCATAACTGCTGAGGTTTCATATCACAAAGTGTTCACTGGTGCAAGTTTCTGGGGATTGAGAAAAGGATCGCATTAAACTTTTTGGTCTAGTTCTTTTTTTCTTATTAGGGGCAACTTCTATGTCTCTGTGGGCTATGCACTGAGCAGCATTTCTTCGGAGACTAATAACTTTAATAGTACTTTGTTCTCTTCCCAATGGTTATGTCTTCTCATCTCTTATGTTTTTCTATTTCCAGATAGAATGTGGTGAAAATTTGTGTGTTTCTGTGTGTGTGTGTGTGTTTATATTTATTCCTTTTGCAATTTCTGGGGAGTTAGGATAAAAAGATGATTTCTCAGCCTATCCTTTGGCAAAGAAAGTGCTTCTTTGCATGTACATATCAACCTGCCATTGGGGTCTGTCTTACGCCCAGGGGACAGAGGTGCCCATATAACATGATATGAGCAACACAGGAAAGGTTCTCTTTATCCCCAAATTCCAGTCTCTAAAGTCCTAATTCTGCCTTCCATACCAGAGAATATGCAAAGACCCTATCAAAGAAAGCATGCTAAGCTAATGTCTTTCAATAATTCATAGTAGCACTCATTAATAAAAGATCTTGAATCACTCCCAAATGTCATCCAGATGAGCAGAGTTTTGTTGAGGGAATTGGCAAACAAAAAGACACAGAATACAAAGTGCTGGAATGCAGGGCTGGGTTGGGGCAAGTAGGGAAGGAGGAAGTGGATTAGTATGAAGGCATTGGGTACCTGAAAATCAGAGAGGAGGAAACAGTGTAACTGAAGTCTTTGCCCATACTTATATTTTATTTAGTGATATATTTGTGAGCATAAATCAAAGCCCATCATATTACTAGTGCTAGCTGGGAGCCCTAGACCAAGCTTGAGTTCCCATTGACATAAGGCACTGCCCTGAGTCATGTGGGGGCTGTAATATGGTCTTGATTACAGCATGAAAGAACACTGTGAAACTGAGAGCTTGTTGCTTGGCACCACCTAAGAAACATAATCGTGTTAAATCTCCCTAAATGATGCTTAGGAGACTTTATACACTAGAGAAATATCCTTCTTGTTTTCTAGAGGCAGTTAAGTGTTACATCTACATGTGCGTATTGGGAAAATCCTGAAAAATATATGCTCACCTATGACTATGTGTCCCAGTATATGGGGGTGGTTACATGCTATTCAATGTTATACTATTAGGCTGGGAGATTATAATTTTTTCCTCTGTTTCAGTATTATGTTTTTTCCTCATATAAGATACTGTTGCTGGGACAATGACAACAAGAGTACTCTTTTTTAGTTGGTTCTTTGAGCATGAGATCCATTGAAATCCCCTTGAATGAAGTTTGTTGTGACTGTGAGAAAGAAATGAAGGAGGAGGTGAGATCAAAGCTGACTGATCTGTAAAGGGCTTGAACCTAAGACTTGGCCCTCCTTTTGGCTCCGTGCTGAAATCATACAAATAACTAAGCAAGGAGGACACAAGGGTGGTCTAGAAAAGGGTTTCCAGGAAATACAAGAAAAAAAGTAAGAGACACTCAGCATCATATAACTCACTCTTCATTCCCAAGGCATGCTTACTTTATTTTACTTTGTTCTAGTTTATATTATTTTTTAAATCATTGACTACTAAATTGGGAATGGTTTATTCAGTCCTCTCACTTTGAAGAAGTAGTTAATAGTCTGCAAAGTTAGATGCTTTCGCTGAGGTTATACAGGATGCCAGGATACAACCAAGAGTAGAACTGAGTCCTCCTACCTGTCACTTCAGTTCTTTGTCTCTCACTATATGCATATTACCCTGGAAGAGAAGATGTCTTTTTGGAAACAGACTAGGGGAAAGAGAAACATTAAAATCTTTTCTTGAAATTCCAGTGCTGTAATCATTATGATCCATATTTTTGAGAGTGAGGATACCTAGAGGTAGTTTCCACTTTCAGATTTTGCAGGAAATAATTCCTCATAATGCACTGCAAGAATAAGGTACTATTTAACTTCATTACACTCTTTATTTTACATAATCAAATCATGAAGTGTCTAGTAGAAATATAGCTTTCTCAAAACAGCTTTTAAATTTTTAGGTTGGAGGAATCACAGAATAAATAAACTCATGTTCAGATACTAAAGAAAACTTCTGATTGGGGGTTGTGAATTTCTAGTTCCTTCAATTTTGCTTTCAGGACATGACACGGGAGAGTTTGAGTGAGTGTGAGTGAGTGTGTGTGAATGTGTGTACATTGGTAACGCTGAAGTATTCTTTGATGTTTATGTTTTTTTCCCAACAAATCACCCTTTTTAAGAAGAAAGGGACAGGTAAGTGAAACCAAAATGAAAAATATGTTTCAATGTGGGGGGTAAAGGCCCTGAGAGAAAGACAAGTGACTGCCAGTGTGCCTCCGGCATTAGGAGTATGCCCTGAATAGCTGCATATTGATGGCAAGTACAGTCTTCTCTCTGATAACAGAGAGAAATTTTCACCCCAGAAATCAAGGCCTCTTCTTGATCTAAAGCTGTTCAGCTCACTCCAGGATGTTTTTTGATCAGTAAAAGTCAGCATTACACACTATGCTTTTTTATTTGCAAGAATCATTCCCAGGCTTCATGTACAGCTATTTGACATGTGTAGCTATTTAACTGATGAGAAGGTTGGGGAGTGAGTTATCTTTTTTACCAGCTCACATTTCAATTGAAAACATTCTCTTTTAATCGAAGGAAAAATTACTTTTTGCTTTTAAGCACACATGTTAGTAGCAGTTTCTCTTATGAATGATGTATTCCTTTGTGGTGTTCCCATCCCTTTGTCCCCACCAAAAGAGAGACAAATGTTGGCCATGCTAGACCCTCAGCTATGATAGCTGTGCAGTTTTGATAGACTTGTAGGAGCAGGAAAGGCCCCACAAAGGTCCTTCAATTCATCCTTCATCCTCTTGATGGTTTACATCCGAATCATTAGAGTAATTAGGCCTTCCATAGGCATGCATGAATTAAGCCAATCAACAAGGACTTTTGAAAATCTGCTTTATATTTAAGGTGTTTTAGTAGGTGTGGGATGTGTTGGATAGTTGCCATTATCCCCTCCAGAACCATGCCATTCTTCTGTACCTGACGGTGCACTCCTGGAGGATGTAGCACATCGATCTTGTCAAAAGGATCTCTGGTTTTCTGGTTGGGTTTGGCTAAAGGGAGGACCTAGCAGGATGTCAGAATTTGGAAGGTGAAAGAAGTCAAGGTCATTGTTTCCCTCTTCTCTTCCTGCCTGGTCATGGACCATGGTAACTGGGCTCCTCTGCCTATGATCACAGCTTTTGCTGGGCAACCTCTCACACAACCCTCGTTATAGTCATAATCACAGCTCTTGCTGTGTTCTGGCACTTCTGTGTCCCCACGCCTCTTCCAGGATTCTTGGTACTAATGACTGTTGGGTGTTGCCAGCCTGTCTCATGTATGTTTGCTTTAGATCTGCCAACAGTTTAATTCCTTTATCAAACTCTCCTCAGTTAGATGTTTTGAGGGGGGCCATCTCCTTCCTGCAGGGTACTCCGACTGATATAAGGAGATACTCCTTCTCAAAGTATTTATATTTTATTTGTGGAAGCTGACCTAATATGCAGGCAACATAATGTAACTTGGAGGAGGTAAACAGTGTGATGCTGACAGTGATAAGAGCTAGGATTATTGTGGGAGATGGTAAGGAGGAACCACGAAGGAGCTATAGTTAGAGCTGTGCTTTGAAGCAATAGAGAGAATTTTCTAGGTAAGAATTAGATGGAAGAGAAGAAAGATGTAACCCAACGATGTTGTCTTATACCCCTGGCGACAACTCTTTACATCACTGAACTACTTTTTTTCCCCTGGGAAACTTCTTTCATATACCAAATTGTGATGGTTAGTTTTATAGGTCAACTTGACTCTGTGGCCTAAGGCATGCCCAGATAGCTGGCAGAATGTTATATCTGGGTGTGTCTGTGAAGGTGTTTCCAGGAGAGAATAGCATTTGCATTGGTAGACTAAGGAATGAAGATGGTGGTTACCTATGCAGGTGGGTATCATCTCATCTGTTGAGGGCCTAAATATAGCAGAAAGGGAAAGGATGGGTGAATTTGCTTTCTGC